TGAAGTGAAATAACCACTGCAGGCCAATCAGAACGGGCAAAGCCTAGAAAACAAATCCAGACAAATCAAACGCTGTCAAAGATGAAGTGAAGGTAACACTGACTCAGGACTGGGGGTATGGCCACTATGGAACAGTTCGGCTGTTCTTAAAAACTAAATGTATTGTTTTCTTAAAATCCAGCAATTGTGCTCCTCGATATTTACCCAAATAAGCTGAATGGGTACATCCAGACAGAAGTCTGTACGCAGATGTGTGGCACCTTTGTTTATAATTGCCAAAACATGGAAGCAACAGATGTCCTTCAGGAAGTGAACAGAAGAATAATCAATGGCATATTACGACAGACCGCAACACAGAGACATGCTATCAAGGGTGGGTGTTGTGGTATGGCAGGCTAAGCTGAGGATGCCTGCGTTTCACACTGGAGGGCCTGGGCTCAAGTCTCGCCTCCGCTTCCAATCCAGCTTCCTGCAAATGCACCTGGCAGGTTCATGGTGGCTTAAGTACTTGTGTTCCTGCTGCTCCCACGGGACACCAAGACAGAGTTTCTGGCTCCTGGCTTCAGCCTGGCCCCACCCCAGCTGTTGCAGGCATTTGGGATGAGAGCCAGCAGATGAAAAGTCTCTTTTGTCTATGTTTCTGTGTCTCTCTGCCTATCAAACACTTATTTTTAAAAAGGAAGAAATATAAATAGACTTGGAAGAAATGCATATTTCTAAGTTTAAAAACCCAGTCTGGAATGGTTGCATAGTGAATGAGTCTAACCAACACCAAAACTGTGGCGACAGTACAGTTGAGTGATTGTCAGGAGTTATGACGAGAGGGAGGGATGAGCAGGCAAAGCACAGAGGAAATTTAGGGCAGTGAAACTGTCCTGTAAGAATGGTAAATATGTGTCTATACATTTGTCAAAACCCATACAACATGCAACAGCAAGGGTGAACCCTATTGTAAACTAAGCACTGTGGGTAATGATGCTAAGGTTCCAGCTGTGACAAATGCACTCTGCTAGGCACGCTGGTAGTCGGGGAGGCCCTTGGTGAGACCAGGTATATAGGAACTCTACTTCCTGTTCCATTTTGCCATGAACCTAGAACTGTTCTATTTGAAAAATAGTCTATTACCCACTCCTCCTATGTGGTCTTAATCGTCTCGACAGAGAGAAGAAATCCAGGCATCAGGTACTGCCTGGAGGGAACAATGCTTAAACACAAAGTGAGGGGCCAATGCCAGGCGTTTCTGCCATCAGGAAGGGCCAGTGGGAGGGAGACGGGGCAGGCAACCTTCTCCTCTCACAGCCCTGTGAGCAGCTGCGGCCCTGCCTGCCAGCTCACCCCTGCCCTACTCACACTCCCAGGAAAGAGCATTTACTCTGAGTCCAACTCGTCGTGTGCCCTCAGGCCACCTTTCTCTTTTCAGGAGGCACGCCTTAAGACCTCTGTAATTCTGTCCCCTCTGCTGAGAACATGCTTCCTCAAATACCTACAAGGCTTGCTCCCTCGCATGGGGAGATTACCCCCAGACAGTTTCGGCTCCCTGGATCACCGAGGGCCAAGTCTCCACATTTCTCTAATATCTTTGGGTCTCAGATAATCAAATATTAGAGCTGGAAAGGACCCCAGACACCAGCTACAAAGAAAACAATTAGTAAGTGGAAAAAATAACAATTTTACGGGGTTTTCTGATACTGTTGTATCAGATACTGTAGGCTTTGGAGCAGGGTGAGGCATGAAAATGGAACAGTGAGGGAAATGGATTTTCACTCATGTCTATTCTATAAAGACCTTAAAGTAGGTGGTTTTTGTTGGTGGTGATGGTGATGGGTGTGTGTGTGTGTGTGTGTGTGTGTTCGGTCTTACTGATAGAAGAGGGGGAGGCCTCATGGCATAGTGGGATAAAGCCGCCACTTGGGATGCCCACATCCCATATCCAGGTGCCTGGTTTCAGTCCTGGCTTCTCTATTTCTGTTCCAGCTTCCTGCTAATGCACCTGGCAAGCAGTGGACGATGGCCCAAGGACCTGAGTCCCTGTCACCCATGTGGGAGACCCAGATGGAATTCCTGGCTCCTGGCTTCGCCCTGACTCAGCCCCAACTGTTGCACGCATTTCGCATTTGGAAGGTGGCTCTATTGATCTCCTTGTCTCTGCATCTTAGATCAATCAATCGATCTTTAATAAGATAGAAGGATTAGGCACTTGGGGATGAAAGCTGGTGAATGCATGTATCACTAATCCCCAAACATCCCCTTCGAACAAAAAAGAAGGGAAGAAAAACTCCAAAGAACCTCGGTGTTTCCGCAGCCCACAGGTTGGATCCTTTGGTGAGCGGTGACTGGGAGACGAAGGATAACCTTAGACGGGTCACAAGTTCCTGATCTCACCAGTTCCCACCAGGGCTTGCTACCTCACTGCTCAGCAGTTATCCAGCTTTTGTTACTATAACAATAAAAGGATAAGGCTAAGCCAGAGCCTGACTCACACAGGAGTCATAATAGGAGGACCAGGAACTGTGGGCCAGGTCAGCGTGCATTTTCAGTTCACACGGGGCTGAGCAGAAGCACGAAGATGCTTGGCGTGTCGACACTAGAGCTGGAGTAACCTGGCCTCATGTGCGAAGGAACCACCACTGCTCAGGACACAGTTCCTCACGGTGATGAACTGACACGTGCCGCATCCAGCTGTCATCAGTACTTTACAAAGTAAGAGCCAGACCAAAGTCATGTCAGTGGTCAGCTTCCGTGAAAACCCCCTGCAGCGAGACAGCTCTGATTCACTCCTCAGAGGGGGATGCATTTTCTTGCCTTCTTTTACTTTATATTTTAATATTTATTTTATTTGAAAGAGTTAGAGAGAGGGAGAAGCAGAGAGTGAGAGGGGTCTTCCAACTACTGGGTAACTTTCAAAGGGCCACGACGACAGGGTCTGAGCCAGGCCAAAGCCAGGGGCTTCTTCTGGGTCTCCCACGTGAGTGCAGGGGCCCAAGGACTTGGGCCATCCTCTGCTGCTTCCCCAGGTGCATTAGCAGGGAGCTGGACTGGAAGCGGAGCAGCTGGGGCACAAACTGGTGGCCCGTATGGGATGCCAGTGCGGCAGGAGGCAGCTTAACCTGCTGAGCCACAGTGTCAGCCCCCCAAGATGACTGTTCCTGAAGCCCAAGGCAGACCTGACTCCAGGGCCACGCTAGATCACCACCACACTCCCTCATTCACTCACTCAGTCTGGGAGGCTGCATCTCAGTGTCCCAACCACCCAACAACCGGGGGAACCGAGCCCTTGCAACGCGTCAGAGGAACCATCCTGTGGCACACGCTGGTAAGACCAGCGCAGAGGAAGGCATGCAGGCAGGGCAGAGGAACTTGGGACAGCAATGCCTGGTGCACACCCAGCAATCTGCACCCTCCCTGGGACGCTGGTCACAAGCACAAGACTGTCAGCTGACTGGGGCTGGGCTTTGTCTCTCCCACTTCATTCCACCCGGCCAACAGCTACATCTTGCATTAAGCAGTATCAAAGCAGAGCTGTGTTCACACCGTTTCTATGTGCAGAACACAATGAAAACACTGCCCACGCCTTCGACCTGCCTTAGGCTTCCTTTGAATGATCTTTTACTAGAAACTTCAGAACTCTTCGCTCTGTTGCCCTAGCAGATCTGTCTCCCAATCTGTGGCTATTTTTGTGTTTCCTAGCTGGTGAGTGTAGCTACTATGAAGGAAGACTGGCAGAAAAGTCATGGTCAGCTTAACTCTGCGCAGCAGTTCACAAAGGAAAAGCAAGGGGAGGGTTCTGTGCTCGCTTTGCTAAGCAACTACCACAGACAGAGAAAGGATTCCCTTTCAACCAGAGAATGCAGATATCCCTCAGCTTCTTCCAGTGCGGACACTCTACAGCAGGACAGAGAATTTCTCCTGAATTCAAATTTCACGATGTGAAAGTGTGAAGCCCCACTGCCTCCCAAGTGCTTTGTTTCAGTTCCTCTTCCGTGCGGCCGGGTGCACCGGGGAGACCAGGGCACGCAAGTTTGCTCTTGCCATCAGCGACACGGCCGTTCACAGGCATGCTTGCCCAGCGCGCCCGGATTTCTCACATAAATGACCCCACGGACTGGGAAAGTGTGACGAAAAACAACACTAACAGCAACCAGCAACTTGGTAGCAGCTTTGCTGTAGTCTGCATTTTAAGAAAGTAGATTGGAAGTAATTTTTCAAAGACTACATCATATACCCAGCATCGTATCTCAAAAATACTGAGACTTGAGCAGAATTTTAACAAGGAGTGACAGACCATGATACTGTAGTTTAGCTGTTGACTCTAGAATTTCATGAAGTAAACTGAACCTCAAAAATCTGTCATTATAGAGGTTAAGAAGAGGGGATTAGAGCCAGCGCTGTGGCACAGCAGGTACAGCTGCCGCCTTCAGTGCCGCCATCCTATATGGGTGCTGGTTCAACTCCTGGCTGCTCCTTTTCCAATCCAGCTCTCTGCTATGGCCTGGGAAAGCAGTAGAAGATGGCCCAAGTGCCAGGGAGTGCAGTGGAGGATGGCCCAGGTGCTTGGGCCCTGCACCCCATGGGAGACCAGGAAAAGCACCTGGCTCCTGGCTCCTGCCATCGGATCAGCGCGGTGCACCGGCCGCAGCGCGCCAGCCGCTGCGGCCATTGGAGGGTGAACCAACGGCAAAGGAAGACCTTTCTCTCTGTCTCTCTCTCTCACTGTCCACTCTGCCTGTCAAAAAAAAAAAAAAAAGAAGATGGCCCAAGTCCTTGGGCTCCTGCACCCGCATGGGAAGACCTGGAGGAAGCTCCTGGCTCCTGGCTTCGGGTCAGCGCAGTTCTGGCCATCACGGCAAACTGGGGAGTGAACCAGCGGATGGAAGCTCTCTCTGCCTCTCCTCCTCTCTCTGTGTAACTCTGACTTTCAAATAAATAAATAAATCTTTTAAAATAAAAGAGGAGGGGTTCCCGGAGGACGTGTGTCCTGTGATGTCTCGTGCCACACGTACCACAGCGAGGATCTCAATGTTCCTTTCTGCACTCGACTCTGTCCGTCCGCCATGGCCGCCACTGCTGAGCAGACGGCTGCGTCTGTGGAATCTCTCTCTTCATTTTTTGGATAACTGGAAAGTCATGAGGAGGAACAATGCCTGCTTATCAGTGTGGTCAACTAAGATAGCCACCTGAAACTACTGATTTAAAATACCCCCGAGCAAAAAAGTAGCTGGAAGTCTACCTAACTGATCGCCACATGACTTGGACAAACAGACACGCTGTGAGCACTTTGGAGCCAGATCCTTACAGTGCAAGCTCCTGTCAATAATTCACTTCTAGCCCAGAGCTTGGCCCGAGTCCTAAGGAAACGCTGGAGACCAAGCACAATTCTCCAGATTTTAAAGTGCGTTTTCAAGACTGTAGGACGGGGAAGAGAAACTGGATGAGGTCTATCAGGACTACTGGGCTGACTAGAGATGAATTCCAATTAATTGCCAAATACATGTCACCGTTGTACAAAATGCATATAAAAAAAAAAACCTCAGCACTAGAGAAGCAACTTCTAAACAAAGTTAAGATAAGGAAAGGGTTTAGTAGGTATAACATGCATAAAGTATGGCTTAAATAAAAATGATTAAAACCATACCAAAAAATAGCAAGCTCAGTGAAAGTGAGAAGCAGTGACTGATAGCAAAAATTTTAGTAAAATGTTCTAAAAAACTGGTTGGCTCTGCACAGATGGACACCCACTCCCTTACCCAAATAATTACTTGGGAATCTGGAGAACTATAAAAAATTAAAATAAAAATAGGCAATACACAAGGCCCTACTACTACACCTTAGAATCTCAGAGAAGGACAAATTTTTTTTTAAATAACCTGAGCTGGGGCCAGTGCTGTGGCGCAGCAGGTTAAAGCCCTGGCCTGAAGCACCAGCATCCCATATGGGCGCCAGTCCTAGTCCTGGCTGCTCCTCTTCCGAGCCAGCTCTCTGCTGTGGCCTGGGAAATCAGAATATGGCTCAAGTGCTTGGGCCCCTGCAACCACATGGGAGACCCGGAAGAAGCTCCTGGCTCCTGGCTCCAGATCGGTGCAGCTCCGCCGTTGAGGCCATCTGGGGAGTGAACCAGCAGATGGAAGACCTCTCTCTGTCTCTACCTCTCTCTGTAACTCTTCCAAATAAATAAAATAAATCTTAAAAAAAAAATTATGAGCCAACTACATAGCTTAACAGTTGAGAGAGAAAGACTCAACAAAATCCAGGAGTCAGATACAAGGCCCCTGGGCAGCAGGTCTGGGATCCGGATCAGGATCCTGATAAGCTGAGTGTCATTCCATTACTCTGTTATCACTCAGCTTTCGTGATAAGAAACAGATAAAAACTTAAGACCAGAAAAGTGAAATTCTTATCTGAATACTGGGACATGTTTCTAAGGTGCCTCACCCTTCATTGCCTCTTGTCTACTAGCAGATCTCTGTATGGACAGCACATGACCCAACACTATAAAATACCGTGGTGGACCATCTCTCTCCACCTTATTAAGTTTCTACTAAAGAAAAAGATTTTTAGGCCAGCGCCATGCCTAATTAGGCTAATCCTCCGCCTTGCGTCACCGGCACACCGGGTTCTAGTCCCGGTCAGGGCACCGGATTCTGTCCCGGTTGCCCCTCTTCCAGGCCAGCTCTCTGCTGTGGCCAGGGAGTGCAGTGGAGGATGGCCCAAGTGCTTGGGCCCTGCACCTCATGGGAGAGCAGGAGAAGCACCTGGCTCCTGCCATCGGATCAGCGCGGTGTGCCGGCTGCAGCGCGCCGGCCATTGGAGGGTGAACCAACGAACGGCAAAAGGAAGACCTTTCTCTCTGTCTCTCTCATTGTCCACTCTGCCTGTCCAAAAAAAAAAAAAAAAGAGAGAGAGAGATTTTTAACTGACAGAAGCTGATTCCTAACAGCCAAACCAAGAAACATACTCATGGAGAAAACAGTTTATGAAACACTAATTTTGAGAAAATTTCTGTATGGGGAAAAAATACACATTTATGTGAACTTACACACTTGCTTTTACACTAAGCATGAGACTCAGAGCTTAACTTTTGGCTCTCCTTCCTATCAAAAGATTTTGTAATAAATTGCAATTCTAAGATTTTTTTTTTTTATTAATATACAATAAAATTCTTTACAAATAGAGTTTCAGTTAAATGGTAGTACTACTGAAAATAATTTTCCCAAAATGGATGAAACAACCAACCTGAAAGAATGCAGCAAGGGTGGTTTTTCCAACGAGCCACTTTATGAAAACCAGTTGACCATAACACACGCCTCTCGGGACAACACTCTTCCTCACTGCCCTGCCTCCCATCAGAGAAGCACAGCCACGCACCCACCCTGCAGACCACCGCCTGAGAACTGCCACGCTGTGCCTCATCTACGCACTGCGGAGGGACTTCAGACCTCAGCGTCCACGCTCCAACCAGGGACAAGGACGTAACCATGCCTCACAAGGCAGCTCCAGCGGAGGGAACAAGAAGAAAGCAGGTGGACAGGACTCACCACAGTCACTCAACACACCAGGCCTCCCCTCTCCTGTAAAGACGGCTTCTGATCCCCTTTCTCTACTCTCAGAAAACGACTTCAGATCACCACGATTCCACCTGCTTGCTAAGCAGTAACCTGGACAACAATCAGACTCCGAAACAGAACTAAAATTCCAAACCTGCTAGCGAGTTCCTTGGGATCAGCGCCCCTTCCTACCCCGGCACGTCTTCCAGTCCTGGTGTGCAGAAGGGTCTTGCAGATCCGCCCAGCACCAGAAACAGCATCGCTAACACATCGGGCCGAATCCTGCCAGGCCCCTGGCCGGGTGGTGGTCTTTGCTGTGCCGCCACACATCTCTTCAGTGGTTAAGTGTTCTGCTTTGTCCTGAAGTCGACATGCACCTGGACTTGAATCCTTGTCACTTGAGGGACATTCCACAGGACGAGGAGATCTAAAGGATCATCTCACTCACTACGCCGCATGTGAGGCAAGCTGCTCCCAGCAGCCTACTACTTTCTTCTTTCACAAGCGGGGGAAAAAAAAAAAAGCAGCGTGCTCATTGGTTATGTAAAACAAGCCCGCCAATGATTTAGGAAGTCAGATGCATCCACCTCCTATGAAACACGCTCTCAGGAACCCATCACAAACACTGCCCAATTCCCACTTCCTACTTTTGTTCCTAAGCTTGTACTCCAGTTGGCGAGACAAAACACTCAGCAGGCAGGTTGAGCAGCTTGGACTGACTCACTCCATCTGTGCTCCCTTGCTAGAGATTGTGTAGCAGTCAATTAATTGGTCACAAGACCTATTCAAATGGCTCTGGACAAACGCAGTGACTTGCCTTCAGCTGCAAGGTTGGGCTGACATTGGCCACACCACCCTTTTAATGCCTCTCATGTGAGCAAGCGTCAGCTGACGGGTCTTACCCTGCAACCTTGCAAAACTCTACCCATCGCAAATGACAGATGGTTAGCCACACAGTCAAAACATAGGATTTACACAGAAGGTGACACGAGGAGCAGTGCACAGGATGCCTAGTGGGGACATTATCCTTGATTTAAAAAAAAATAGTGATGATATTAAGAAGCCATAAATCCTCAAAACTTCTGCGCTGAATTCCTAGGCTCTGAATTCTGCGCTAAATTGCCAGAACCCAAAACAAAGCAGTTCAATTTTTAATCTTTCTCTCTGCCTCTTGAATTTTGTCAGTGCACTCTCATGCGCCGTTTCACTCCCCAAATGCCCATAATGGCCACATGGAAACTCAGTCCAGGTCTCCCACAAGCGAGGCAGGAACCCCACCAGCATCATCACTGCTGCCTTCCAAGGTCTGCATGAGCAGGCAGCTAGCATGAGGAGCCAGAGACAGAGAGAGGTGCAGAAGCCTGAGACGCTGTCCAATATGGCATGTGTGTGGCTCAGCCTCTAGGTTAAACAGCCAGCCCAAAGCAGGCCAATTTCGACTTCTGACAATAACATACTTCATCTGAAGAATGCAAACAACCACAGAATCTGTGAGCTTGTTCAAAAAACATTTTTCTGTAGAAAAAAAAAAAAAAAAAAAAACAGTCCCTGTAAGATAAGGCCGGGTCAAATCTTGATACAAGAAACTACAAGGACCGCTTCAATGCCCTCTGCTCTTCCTTGTCCTAGGATTTTGCTGATAAAGATACTGATGCACACTCTGCCTCAAAGGGGAACATATTTTGAGCTTAAAGCTTAGCAGCCATGGGCACAGTCTTATGCTGAGTTATTTTTTCTCTCCCTTGAACCAGCTTCAAAATCTTTATACTTTCCCTCCCTCTCCCCTCCCCCAGCCTTTTCTCTCTCTCTTACCAGAGAGGTAGAGAGAGAGACGGAGTTTTCCCATCTGCTAGTTCACTGCCCAAATGCCTCCAACAGCCATGGATGGGTCAGGCCAAAGTCCGACTCAATCCAGGTCTCCTTCATGAGTGGCAGGCCCCAAGCGCTTCAGCCACTACCTCTGCCTTCCAGGATATCCATTGGCAGGAAGCTGGAATGTGAAGCCAGGACTCGAACCCGGGCATCCCAAGCAGTATAAATGCTGTTCCAAAATCCTGCCCCTACCTTCTGTTTCCAGCAGACTCAGATAACTCACATAAGCACTGCAAAGACTTATCACTGCAGGCACAGGGCAGCTCAGTGAGCGCAGGCTAACAAGTAGGTCTCCTCTGGCCATCAAGTTCCAAATCAACCTCTGGGACCCGCCCAGGAGAAATGGGGGCAGCCTCAAAGTGCATGGGGCAGGGACTCTAACGATGCCTCCAGCGCCCTGAATTATATAAAACATGCCACCGAAGTGTTAGGGGAACACATCCCACTTTTTATGTACAAAAGATGCACTTTATGGGGCCAGCGCTATGGCATAACAGTTTAAAGCCACTGCCTGCGGTACCAGCATCCCATATCGGCATTGGTTCGATTCCCAGCTGCCCCACTTTCAGGCTATCACCCTGCTAATGAGCCTAGGAAAGCAGCAGAAGACGGTCCAAGTGCTTAGGTCCATGCACCCATGTGAGAAACCCGGAAGAAGCTCCCCGCTCCTGGCTTCAGCCTGGCCCAGCCCCAGCTGTTACTGCCATCAGGGGAGTGAACCAGCAGCGGATGGAAGATTTCTCTCTCTCCTTCTCTCTGTAACTCGTTCAAATAAATAAGTCAATCTTTAAAAAAAAAAAAAAATCCCAATCCTATCCCCTTTCCAGGTGGCCAAAATGGTTTAAGTGATGGAAGCGATAAAAGATGAAAGTGACAACGTGGTTTCAAAGGGCGTTTGGAGGAGAACAGGATTCATCCAAAAGCGCTGAGACGCACTCCTCCTGAGCAGAAATCAAACCAGACGGCACGGGACACCCTCCCCCTCCGAGGGCCCCTTCCTCCAGGCGCTGCTGTAACTCAGCTGCAGCCGCGCGCCAGTCACCAATCCTGCCGCAGTCCACTCAGTTCACCTTCGAGCCGCCCTGTCCTTGCTGACGAGATGTTCGGACTTCACGGTGCTGACGGACAGACACTGCTGGGCCTGACTCGGCAGCTCCAAGGGAGCCTCAGAACTCAGACGCCTCGTGTGTTCCAGGATGCCGGTGCCGCCGGCCTGGGGACTGCACGTGTGAGAATCACTCCTTAGGAAAGTCCCCATTTCACTGTGAAGACACTGCCAGTCAGCTAGGCTACAAGATCATTCTGGTCCTTGAATTCCTCTAATATTTTCTGGCCACATTTTTAACACCTAACATATATATGCTTAGTGCATATTCCACAAGTGTATGTGTCCTCTGATCCTAACTTGATTATAAATGCTTTCAGTGTGAAGACTGGCTCTTGACATCCATCTTTGCACCTCCTACAGGTTTTATACCTGGTAGATGACTGACCAATTCTGATTTGTCTAACCACTGAATATTTGCATTAATACTATGCTAGGACACTGCCTGCAAGAGATAGTTTACCAGGGCCAGTTAAGATACCAGCATCTGACACGAGTACTGGTTTGAGCTCCATTTCTGATCTAGCTCGCAGCTAATATGCCCAGGAGGCAGCGGATAATGGCCCAAGTACTTGGGCCCCTGCCATCCACGTGGGAGACAGGATAGAGTTGCAGACTCCTTGCTTTGGCCTGGCCCAGTCCCAGCCTTAGTTACGTGGGAAGTAAATCAGTGGATGGAAGATCTCTCTCTTTCCTCTATTTCTCTCTCGCACACATGCATGCTTTTAAATACGTAAAAATAAATCTTAAAAAAAAAAAAAAGGCAACGCGCTTCAAGTGCCACACATTTGTCTCGCCCTCTCATTTACCACAGGTAAAGTCCTCTCGGGGGCTTTAACATCCTGAGGCCACTCCAGTCAATGCAACTCATGTGCAACCCTAACAGGACGGTTTTTAGACTTTCTGTTAAAGATTTATTTCACTTACTTGAAAGGCAGAGTTACAGAGAGGTAGAGGCAGAGGCAGAGAGAGAGAGGTGTTCCATCCGCTGGTTCACTCCCTAGGTAGCCCCAACAGCCAGAGCTGTCCTGATCTGAAGCCAGGAGCCATTTTTTTTTTTTTTAATTTTTTTTTTTTGATAGGCAGAGTGGACAGTGAGAGAGAGAGACAGAGAGAAAGGTCTTCCTTTGCCGTTGGTTCACCCTCCAATGGCCGCCGCGGCCGGCGCGCTGCGGCCGGCGCACCGCGCTGATCCGATGGTAGGAGCCAGGAGCCAGGTGCTTTTCCTGGTCTCCCATGGGGT